TTGGTAGAATATACATTTATAGTCTTTCGGGTGAACTATGCTAAATTATGGTTTTGTCTACGTCAAAGTGAAGCAAGGTCCTCAACCTCTTCCCTATTCAAAGGCAAGGCCTCAGGTACTCTATAATAATTTTCTCACTGCCATGACTTACCCTGACCCCATTACAACATACTCTTTTCCTATTATCCTTACAAACTAATGCAAGAGAAGAAATCCAAATGCTGTAATGTTCTCACTTATAAGTGGGAGTAAAATAATACGAACACAAGAACACTAAGTGGGGAACAACAGACACTGGGGCCTACCTGAGGGTGGAGGGTGGGGGGTGGAGAGGAGCAAGAAAAATAACTGTTGGGTACGAGGCTTAGTATCTGGGTAATGAAACAGTCTGAACAACGAACCCCCATGACATGAGTTTGCCTATATAACAAACCTGCACATATACCCCTAAACCTGAAATAAAAGTTTAAAAACAAAAACACATTTCTTTACACACTAGCAACCCAAGAATTTTTTCCCCAAACACTGTCTTCTATTCTTTAATGCAAGCTTGGATGAGTTTTGTTTTTACTCAAATATTGTATTAAACTTTTGTACTTCTTTACCCAATCATTTAATTTGACCATCTTAATAAGCTTTGCTTAATATTTCATCTAAGGAAAGGTTTCATGATCTGAGATCTGAGGGACATTTCCATCCTCCTACAAACCAAACTAGATTATCTGGAAATAATAGGCTTTGAATTCAGTATTTTTTTTTCAGACTAGTTCACACCCATTGTTATGATTCAAGGTAAATTGTCAGTAAGTGAGTTTATAAATGAATGTGCTCATAAATGATTCAACATTATGATGGTAAAATGATAAAATATTAGTAAAGTCAAATATAAGAGAATTTGTTATTCATAGAATTGAAGATCATCATAATGGAATAAACGATAATTCAGTTCTAGGTAATCTGGGTAAATTTGAAAGTTCTGAATAAAAACATTAAATCCATAAGAAAATAGATAATGATATAACTTGAAGTATAAATAATCTTTTTGTTAAAACATATGTAAAAATTTGTTATTGGAGGGTGATTTAAGTAAGTAGGAAGACCTTGTGAATCCTTATGTCCTAGGTTTCTCTAAGACCCATGGAATGGAGCTATTTTCAAAGTATTAACTGTATGTCCCAAGGAGGATAGGCATGCAAATGAAATTTTATAGAATTTTCACATATTAATTTTATGTCTATTGAATAGGACTCTTTTTAAAACTTGGGTTTGTAAAACATGTTTTACAGTATTAAATAAAGAATTATTTTGTAATGTTTTTGGAAGCAATGTAAATAATTATTTAACTGAAACATCCATCTCCCAAATAAAGATATTCCTCATCCATTTGTTTATAAAAGTGTTTTATTAACTTGTAAATTGGTAACATAATAGTGCCAATCTACAAAAACTAAAATAATAGCAAACCATTCCATGAAGTATACCTTGGAAAATATGGAAAGTCAAAGTGAAATTAGTTAGCTATAAAATTTTGCAGTTTTCGGCTTATGTTCAGAGCTATTGAATCCAAATCATTTATGTGAATGTGCTGTTTTGATAAAGAACACTTTTCCTTGTGTTGCAAATACTATTTTATAGTATATATTTTGGGAAAATAACTAATTTGAAGTATGCAAGAACTACATGGTGAACATTTTACTCAGAACATCTAAAGAAAAAATAATTTGAAGACATTATTTTTGTTATCAAGAAAGTAGCATAAGTTAAATGTAAATTCAATTGAGGCTGCATCAACAATAAATAATATTACAAACTAGCTAATGAGAAATTTCACAGTTATGTCTTTTTCCAGAAGTAATTCCATAATATTAATAAAGCCTTACAACATAATGATTTAATTCAACCATGTTTATCCAGCAGCACTTTCTGAGATAAATGGTAAGTGAAATATTTTTTGAAACATGAATATTACTTAGAGAAATGCTTTCTTTCCTAACCTCAATGTCAGAAGAAATGTCATCACTTTAGAAAAATAAAATATCCTGGCTAATAGAATATAACATTGAGCCTTTATATGTGTGGGTTACACATTGATGGAGTTAACCAACTGCAGATCAAAAATACTTACTAAAAAATAAACTATAATCACACAAAATTAGAAATATAAATAAAAACTAATATAGTATAACTATACAGCATTTATATTATATTAGGTATTATAATCTGGTGGTGATTTAAAGTGTACAGGAGGATGTACATAAGTGATATTGTGCATATATTATGCATGTATATGCATATACAGTATTTTGTCATATTTAAGTAGGCAATATTTATCATCATTAAAATTAATAAAATTATATAAATATGTGATCAAATGCCTAAAACTGAATCATTACCATTACCAACTGGTGACAGTTGCACCTATGCCAAAATATTTATGTACTCAACATCCTAAATTTTTATTTATTTTCAAAGTCCTAAATTTCTTCTAAGGTTATGAAGTTCCTGGAAAAAGAAATCATATTGCTAAGAGAAATAGAGAGACATACACACAAAGAGGAGAGAGAGGAGAAAGAGAAAGAAAAAGAACCAATATTTCACAATTATTTTAGACTTCTGGCTTCTCTACTATGTCATTTTAAATGGTTAACCCCATCACGTTGCATAATTTGGTGACTGTAAAATAGTGTTTTGCAACACAAAAGCCACAGGCAGAGCAGCCATCAAAGGTATGAACTTTAAGTAAAAGACAGGCACTTTAAACATGAAAACATAGATTGAAAATACAACTGTGGAAAAAGTTATGGTAGACAAACAATAATTCACAAAGGCTGAAGTGGTTATGTTAACATTAGATAAATTCAGGACAGAGATGATCAGAGATGATTAAAATATTTTATAATAATAAAAGTACCAATTCTTTAGGAAGGCTAAACATTATAAATATGTATGTACTGTACCTAATAATAAATAATGCTTGAAAATCACTATGGATATATGAAATACAATTTAACAAAACGAAATAAGAAAGAGGCAAATTCACTATCATATGAACCATAGTATTAACCACCTTGATCTAGTTTACATTTATAGGACACCACGTCCAACAGTTATGGAATCCACACTTTGGAAGTTCACACATTGTTCATGCACCAAGGTAGCCTTTACATGGGGCCATAAAGGAAACATCAAAAGTTCGACATATTCTTGTACCAACAAAAAATTAGAAAACAAAAACTGCAAGATGTTTGCAAAAATCTCGGAAATTAAACAATCTACTTATAAGTAAGCCAAGAAAAAAATTACAAGAGAGGAAGAAACACAGAGAATAAAAGAAAGAAAGAAAGAAGAAAGGAAGGGAGGGAGGGAGGGAGGAAGCTAGAAAATATTTAGAAAAAATGATGAAAATATATCATGTACATAAAGTAATGCGAATTTCATACTTCTGGGAAGACAAGATTTATCATGCATATTCCATATTATTCTCACCTTATTTTAACTTCAAGGGCCTCAAGTGACCATTCTTTACTTTTTATGGATGAAAATAAAAAAATTTTGGCAGGAAAAAAAATAACTTGATGTCCTTGTTCTTTATAGTAAAGGTTAGGAACATGATGATACAATTTAAGTAGGACCATCTTGTCATGATGTACAGAATCCAGATTCAGTTGGTTATCTTTACAGTAATGAACAACCCAAAGTCCCAATGGCTTGCAACAACAAGTTTATTCTTCTGTTGCATGCTCCCAGTTGGCTACTCCACAGGTTTTCTTATGGTGGGATCCAGGACCAAGGAGAAGCTTCTTTTGAGAATGCTACGCTTGTGGTAGAAGGAAAATAGCAGAATCAGAATCTCCAGTCAGTATCCCAGAGGAAGAAGCATTTTAAAATCTTGAAGTTAAGAAGATATTTGAATGTTCGCTGTATCTGACAAATATATTCCTTCGATGTGGGGTCATCCATTAGAGTCCTTCACATATCAAAGCTCTGTGTGACAACTTCAATAAATTCATAGTAAAATGATAGTAGTTAAAAATGATAAGACTACTTTTTGTGCATTCCATAGAGGAAAATAACTACTCATAAACATTTTGTCAACTCTGTTTCCATCTCTGGGAAACTGATGCTGGATGTTGCTGTGAAAATAAGGAGATAGAAATAAGTACTATAGTAACCAAAACTCAAAAGCAAGCTTTATAAAATGTTGGTGCCGCAACAATTCAGTTTTGATATATTATTTTGGTTTCGAAAAGACACAAGAAAAAAACAGTTGTGTAAACAAATGTCTGTGGATTACGGAACTGACTTTCAAACCAAACCATTGCCAGATAGTCAGGGAGGGCCCTTTTCCTGCCTCCCAGATTATAATCAACCTTAAATCCCAGCTTCACTGTGGATATAGTATTCTTCTCTTTAGTTTAAATGCTACTTATTTTTATCTTTCTCTTTCTTTCTTTCTTTTTTTTTCTTGTTTGCTATCCTTTATTAAAGGGCCCACATTCTCATGGGACTCCAGCCAAACCAGTCAGGTCCCCCAAATATAGCAGGTGGTCTGGAAGGGGAGGGGAATGACTTATGATCCTACTATGGCTCCCGAGAAACAGAAACCACCACAGACAGACAGGGGCTGGGGAGAACTCGCCTGACTCTCAGTCTTCTCCCCCTTTCCCCTACTTGAAAAGAAAGTCAAACACTGGCTACGCAGCCCCCAGCCCCCCATCCCACCCATAGCAGCGTTTGTGGGACCCACCCCCTGGCGAGCGGAGGCCCCGAGGCAGCTCCCTCTCTCTCCCTTCACTGTGGCTTGCTCCTGGCAACTCCGCGCCCCCTCCTTTCCTCAGCCATCGCCGACTCGGACCTCCTCTCTCATCTCCCGGGCCTCCCTGCCCCAGCGCTTCTGGGGAAGCGGCGTCTCCGGCGTCCTCCCTTCTCCTAGCAAGGGGCCCCACCAGGCCCTCTGCCCGGGACGTGGGGCTCACACAGCCGCCCCCCTCTCCTGGAAGTCAGGGGCGGAGCGCTGCCGTTTCATTCATGGTGGGGGGAGTGTATGGGGAGGGCGGGGCCCTGGAGGCCGCTGGGCTGGGTAGGGTTGGGGCGGCTGGGGAGAAGGCTTGTGATTTGGGGCTGGAAGCGCTGGGGTTCAGCCTGTGCAGAACCCGCTCCTCGGGATCTGCCCCTCCGACCAGGGAGTTCCCGCGGTGATGGTGGGACCTTCTGGGACTCGGAGGCCTGCGGGCAGGGGTGTCTGGAGGGGGAGTGACCTCCTCAGGGGGTTGGGGTGCAGCTGGAGCCTCCTCGCTCCCCATCCCTGGCCAGAACTCCCGGTGCTGCGGGTTGCTCCTGAAGGGGAAGCGCAGCTTGCAGCCGTGAGGGGGGCACAAAGTGGGCTGAGGCCTGCGCAACCCCATGCCCCGGCCCCCAGAGCCCTGCACACCACCCC